GGGAAAAAAAAAAGGGGGGGGGGGGATAATCAAATGGAGGATAAGTGCAAAAATGAGGAACACAAAGGGGGATAAATTGTGTGTGGAGGTTTGGAAACTGCTGGTTGCATGAAAAAGTATCAGCTCTGTACATGCAATATATTACTAGCCTCATCCTGAGTTCTGAACAGAAGGTCTGAAAACTAAAACAAGGGGTGGCAAACTGAAAATGGTGAGAAGAACAAGCAATCTTACTTCTGTTCGGGTGTTTCTGTTGGTTGGCTTCTCTGACTTCGGTTTGATCAACTGCATGTTGCACATGGGCAGTTTTCCCCCTTACTTTGTAAAGCATAGCTGCAGGTATGTGTGATTTTTCCCCCGAGACTTCCTGCTCTAGCATGTTTCACTGCTTGGGTTTTGGACTTGGTGCATGTGCTTGGGAGATCTGCCCTAAGGGTCAGCTGGGTGGTGGATGTTGCCCTTTTAATGTCTGGATAAAAGATATACTAATAGCATTTGGTGTGCTAGTATTTCAAGGAATAGGAAGCTTTTTTTTTAAGCAGGGTCCTAGTTCAGGTGCTCTTTTTTTGTGGGGGTAACTTACTGCTAAGATGTGCTTCAAGTCGCAATGAACGGCATGTCCTGCTATTCATCTTTCTGTTACACTTTTGTCCCCTGCTAGCTGCTCTGCACTTGGACATACCAGGGTGTATTAGGTAAGGCCCTATCCCTGCAGGAAGACCAAGGCAACTTGTTGCCCAGCTTGGAGGACTTTAGTGATCATACAAACCCTAATCTCTGTTCTCAGTGGGAAAAGGCTATATGCCTTCCTATACCAAGAAGTTACCCTACAAGTTGACAGGCCCTAAGGTGTCAAAAAAGCACAGGCAGAAAAGAAGCAATGGGCTCAAGTTGCAGCAAGGAACATTGAGGTTGGGTAGTAGGAAAAAATGTCTCTAAGAGGGGGTGAAACACCAGACCAGGCTCCCCAGAGGGGGTGGAATCTGCATCCTGGCAGGTGTCAAAGGCCCAGCTCAAAGCCCTGGCCGGGCTGATGTAGTCAAGGAGGCCACAGCAAGTCCAGCTCTAAGTCCCTTCCCCAAATTTTGTATGATCAGCAGCAATTCTGGTTTTCTCTGATTTGCAAAAAAAAAAAATAATTCTAAGTTTTGGATTTTAAAAGGTATTGTGAAATCTGTAATTTTTCCATGATTAAAATGAAATGCCATTAATATAGAGGCTAAGGGGTAGCAGTGTTCCTTTTTAATCATGGAAGAAGTGTAGATTTTGGGTTCCTTTTTAAATCTGAAAATTGGGGGGTTTTTTAATAGAAAAACCAGGCTCCTTCCCCGCCCCCCCCGGTTACTTTTAGAAACAAGCCGAGGCAGCGTAGGAGGAAACGGCTGGAGTCACTGTGCGCGGGCTCTCATGCAGCGCACACTACGACCCCATACTCCGCTGGTTGCTGCGCATGCGCTGTCTCTCCCCTCCCCCCACCCCCTCAATATGCCTAGAGGCCTGCTAGACCGGCGCTGTACTGCGCGCGCGGGACGAGGCCAGAGGGCGGGGGGGCACAGTACCCCGCATGCGTGGCCGGGCGTGCCTGGGTGCTTGCACGCATGCGCCTCAGGAGCCCCACGCCATGACTGGCCGCGGGCAAGCGCTGGTAGTTCCGGCACGGCCGGTCGCCTCGGAAACGGGTGTCTTCGCCAGCTCACACGCACTTCCGGCAGGGTGCACGCTGGGAGCTGTAGTTCTGCGGAGGCTGCTGCAGCCTTGTGGTGCCCGAGCCTGCTGCTGCTTGAGCCCGGCCGCGGCGCAAGCGAGGTTTGGCAGCCGGGAGATCCTGCCGCGTGCCGCTGACTCCTGCGCTTGGCAGCCAAAGGGAAACACGTGGCTCCGGGCCGCGCCTGTAGCTCAGGCAGCCGGGGTAGACACGACTCGCCGGACTTCCGTTCCTCTGTCCTGGAAGCGCGGCAGGGCCGGATCGGAGGCTTGCGTTTTCATTGGCCGCCCTGAGGCCTGCGGTGATTGGGTGGAGTGGCCGCATGGGCGGGGTCAGCGCCGCTCCGCCCTTCTTCGCTCTGATTGGCCTCTGCCAGGGCAGGCAGGCGGAGGAGCCCGCCCCCTCCGCGCTCTGATTGGCTGACGGGGAACGGGGTACGCACCCCTCTGTGCGCCGATTGGTCCGACTCCGATCCTCCTCGGCCGCATTCAGCTGTTCGCCTGCGCCGTGCCGGGAGCCAGCCACGATGCGAAGTCCAGCATGAACTTTTCCTACGATGACCACTGCGCTTGTACATCAGTTCTACACCCCGTAAATGAAATGAGCTCTACAAAATCGAACCAAGAAATTCCTACCTCGAAACCCGTTTCCTGAATTACAGGCACAACGCGTCTCCATACCTGGAGTCGGCGTCTTTTGGTCATCTCACTCTTGACGAAATCTTCAATGCGACTGACGAAATCCAGGGTGCCTGAGATTTTTAAAAAGGGTGGAAACATGGGTGCCGTCTTATCTGGTGCCTCTTGAGCTGGGGGGGCACATGCCCCTCCTGACGCCAGTCAGCAACGAGCCCACTAGCCGCCTACACAGGGAGTGTGGCCTGATAGGGGGGGCACTGGCGCTCTCAGGGGGTGCAAGTGCATCCCCATGCATCCCCTACGTGTCGCCCCTGGTTGGAAGGGAGAAGGAAGGTGTAAGAAATCAGTGTCAGGAGGTGGAAGCTGATGTAGGAGTAGGGGTTCAGCTTTTAGGATGACGTTGCCAGCAGTATGCCGGCCAGGGCTGTTATTAAGAATGATGTTCCTGTTACGTTCTGCATATCGTTTTGGTGCCCCCCAAATTGTGGCGCCCTAGGCGACCATCTAGTTCACCTAATGGTTGGAGCGGCCCTACTCGGGTGGCTGTAGCAACTCCTGACGCCAGTTCTGCACAGCCGGGGGTCTGCAGTGGCAGGTGGGGCTTGGAGGCTTGTCACACTGCCAGGCGAGTACTGGACTTGCCAGTAGGAAGCGTGTGGTTTCTTGTAGTTTTATTTAGATTTGGCAAGTGTGGGAACATCGCCCTACTTTCAGATATGCTTGCGTAGCCCAGTAAGAGAGTCCTGGGTTAGCAGCATTTGAGAGGGCACGTTCAGGAAAGGTCTGCCAGAAATAACATTCGCTGTTAAAAGCATTTTTTATGGAGCAGATTTAAGAGCAAGGGAATGTGTGGGCTCTTGAGGACGTTCGTTGTGTTCTTTAGCAGAGCGAGATATCGGATGGCAGATGCCCTGGAGTTGGGGGAATAGATGCAAAGACGTGTCAGCCTGGGGACTGACCACCGCTCTGAATCCAGGGGAATCCCACTGGCATCAGTGGGACGTGCTCCCAGGAGCCAGGGCCCTCCTGGCACATGTGTGGGTTTGGAGTGTGCCAGCAGGAGGGGCTGGGGGATGCCGACTCACCAGCATCCCTGCCAGGACCTACTGCCTCTGCAGCGTGCACTTGCCCTTC